CTTCTCAGGGGTGCGACATAGCAGGAGATTGACTGTATATATATATATACATATATATATATATATAACATGCGAACAAGCATGGCACCTACGTAAAAATAATGATAACGGCAAATGGTGGGACTTGGTTACAAAAGTGAAAGACGTGGAAGACAAACAGTTACAGATAATCAAAAGGACAAGAATATCAACATTTATGTTCGTTTCACAGTACACTTTTTTTTATACATTTTGTGAAATATACCCACACAGGCAAGTAGATCACTATTCGTAAATGGACAGAAGCATCGATTAGGTTCGGAATTAATCCGACAGGATAGCAAGTTATTCGACAGGTCATCCGTATGTGGAAAGCCGATCAGTACACTGTTTGGATATCAAACACATTAGACATAAACGAATATGTACAATGTTCAGGTTGTTAGATTGACATAAAGCCGGTAAATGTCACTCTGTCTTGCTACCCTTTCACATTCATTTAGAACCGAACCCAAGTCGGAAACAAATTACCGGTCTCTTCTCATATGTGGGTAAGGATGAACTGTCATACGTGGGCAGAGTTCTCATTAATTTGAATGAAGGTCAACTATGCAAGTGATAGGCACAGTTCTGGACATCCAGGGAAATTAGGTTTCTTGTGAAACAATAAAAAGAACACCCTTTGGAACTCACTGTGTGCTCAACCATTCAATAACTAAACGCATTGGCATCGAGGACAGGTCATCAGCCACAGTACCAGAATTTCCTCCGGCAGAGATTTGCTTGCTTTCAGACGAAGAATTTGTGCTCCCAGTCGCCGCGTTTGAAGTGGTCGAATCATCCGGTCCGGTGACCGATTGAGACTGTGCCATAGCCAAACTACCACCACTGCCTGAACGCAACAAAAGTGTTTGTGCCGCCCGGACATCTTCTATACGTTCACGACGCGTCAGTACATCCATGACCTGTTCCAATGCCAGCAGTAATAAGGTCAGCTCACGCCGCTGAGCCAGCAGTGGACCCACTTGCGCACTCAGTGCTTTCAGCTCACTGACACTACTGCTACCGTCACCGTGCAAATCGGTGGGTCCGGACCGACTGGCCAGTTGGGATTCCAGACTGGTTTTCTTCTCTTGCAGATCGATACGCCATTTTCCAAGCAACGTACATATGTGTGCAATGTGCACATCCCGGACATCCTGGAGACGGTACGATCAGAAATGGATGGAGCAGTGGAGGTATCATTACAAGTTTCATGAAAGCAAGAAAAAGCATCATGATCACAGGATGTGTTGAATTCAACTATTTCGTGGTAATCTTATCAGTTGTGTACATACATTCAGATCACGTTTGGTTAAAAGAGTGACAGGTTTTGGGACAGGCGAACACACGCGGGGTTCACCACTTCAAGTCTTGGGTTTTAGGCTACGGGTTTTCATGACGGAGCAGCAGATCTTCGTGACTATGGGGTTCGCTTCGTCTGCTGTTCACCACACAAATATGTATAATTATATATATATATATATATATATATATATATGANATTTCAAGCAATTTCCGGAATGAACCCAACCAGACCATCATATATATATATATATATATATATATATATATATATATATATATATATATGATGGTCTGGTTGGGTTCATTCCGGAAATTGCTTGAAATATGAGTTACCCAGAAAGGTTTAATTTAGTAAAAAGCTAAATAATCTAATCTTAGAAAAAAATTGATTGGACTCATTCTTCAAAAGGAAAGTGTTGCAGCTTGCAACTGACTGATACGTTTGCAATACATGCCTGTGGCCAGATTGACGGATCAATTGGCTGGCCCACTTGACGGCATACGGATGTCCTGTGACGTATTAGCCTGTGTTCCTCTGCCTGTCTGCCCTACTACGCGTTGTTCGTTTCTGCTTGCTTCCCGGTCTACGAACCGGCTATAATATGTGCCGTCTACAACAAACGTGTTGCTTAATTCACCATGTGCTTATCTACCTAATTAACCTGGGACACAACAGAAAGGAAGTATATAAATGAGCATTTATTCAACCTATCCCCATAGGCAACAAGCGAACCATGGCAACCAATGACTGATTGGAATACACACACACGCACACATCTTGGTCAGCTTGAATTGACTGAAATTGGAAGTACCAAATAAGTGAAGATAATATTGTTTTGCCTCTACTCTCAGTGACACTCACTTTGTAGTAGTGCATTTTTGAACCGTTCAAAAACTGCTTTTTCGGAGCCGGATCATTGCCCGTTGGATCCGGCAGAGTAACGATTCCTGTTACAAACGAGATATCAATCGGTAGAGAAATAGACATCATCATCATGATCATCGTACAGCATATTACAGTGAATCGAATTTCACCGATTGGTTCCAAACTCATACTGCATACAACGTAAGCGAGAATGTGTAAGGAGGATAGAGATTGGACCAATTTTGAGAGAGAGAGAGGAATGATAAGAAGTGACAGCAAGATCGTCACTGCCGTCGGTTTCCTGTCATGACTATCTCCAACCATCCAGTTACGGAATATTTTGAGTCCCAGCCAGAAGACGAGAGATACTTAGATGGTGGATGTGTGGACTAGTCCATTCGGTTTCTCACAGGCACCAGGCAATGTTGATGATGTTCGATGTGGGTTTCACTCCTTGAGAGATCGTTAATTCCCAAACACTTCCATCGCAATAAAATGCATACAAACAGTGGGGAATTAACGATCTCCCAAGGAGTGAAACCCACATCGAACATCATCAACAGTGCCTGTGAGAAACCGAATGGGCTAATCCAAACATTCACCATCTAAATTGATTGAGCCATTCGCACAAAGTGATAACCATCTACCAGGTAGCTCAAGTGTTTGAAGTCCCTGCCCGAAGAATCGCGGTTCGAGTCCTGACAGGGACACAAAAAGTACTCACCGCTGACGAGTCTCAAACAGGACGAAACAGCTGTCCAGTGCTCTTTATCGGTTATCACAAACATTTCTATCACAATAAAACGAGAGATACTTATTATACCTAATCGCTCTGTGCCATTCTTAATGCCTCATTTCCACGTCAACTGCTAGTTTCCACGTGGCCTTCTACAGTTTGGAGAGGCCACTGCAAATAAGGCGCGGTGCGATAGACGATCGTTAGACATGTATACGCTTTCTAAGCACAACGGAACCTATTTAGCCTAATTCGATACAATAGATAGATTNTCGTGTGATACATTCCCAAACACCCGGTGACTTTTAGGTTACCAACCCACTCATTTCATCCAACCTGGACCAGACTACGCAAGAATTGATTGTCGAAAAGAACTAGACGGCGGATGTCTTCTACCCGCAAATTCAAGGTCTCATGACCGTAAATCAGATCGTATTGATTGCTAAAACGTAATTTACATTCGACGGATGTACAGGTGCATCAGTCTTACTGCTGAAGACAACCAGTAGTTAAAAATTACAAGTTATTGGTGTAGTGTTCTGCGTGGCCTGAATCGGTGCACAAGGGCATACACGCACAGTTTCCCTCAGATTCGTGCATGCGCACGCATTTCTGTGTTGACTGCAACGTGGATGACAGTGCTATCTTCTGGGGACAACCTAGTTGACGTGAGTAAGACAACCAATCAATACCACACCAGAGCTTTGTTCAGCCTATGCGAATGATCGGTAATTGATAACTCTTGATTAACTGTAGCAGTAGGACTGAGAATTGTTGTATATTCGAGGCGGAACGTAGCTCCGAACTCTGTGTCAAGTAATAATAATAATAAGATAATTTCATTTCCCTTTCATAACATACACAAAATACAATCCCGCGTCTCAGGAAGACAGTTGCAACCGAAAAAGATGGTCGGGGTTGAATAGGACGAGTGCTGTTCGAGCACACGGCCAATGCGTTCACAACTGAAGCTGATCAACACCGACAACACATTCCCTTAGCGAGGAAACTTCCCATCTCGTGTAAATCTACAAGTCCCAAGGAGTGCTTTGGAATACGAAGTTGGGTTAAGATTTGAAAAAAAAGATGCAAAGCTGAGTCCAATCAACAGTGGCCACATAGCACAGTTCAAATTTATGGAAGGAGAAAATTAAATAGTTCGAGAATAATTATGCAACTTGTTTTTCTGTACTACTGAGATCTGTCTTTTCTGTGGGAAATATGAGAAGAGAAAGAGAGAGAGAAACCAGTAGAGCATGATTCACGCCTTGAACGGTTTCAATGAACATCAACCGAGGTTGCCCCTTGAAAAATACAAATATGCAAACTCTTTCTTTGTGTATGAACGACATTGCATTTTGGCACTCCTTTCGTACTGCGACTTGTTTACGAGGCGAGTGACCGGTTGAATATCACTCCATATATGAATATTCCATAAATAGCTTAAGAAGTGAAATGAACTGAAGCGAAACCCAGTGTTTTGGACAGTTTTCCACAGGACTAGTAGTAGCCAAACGGTACCGATACTGTCGGATGATTGGTCGGTACAAGACTTTTGATTAACCAATCGGATTGATGTAAGTGATTCTATAAAATCTCCAGAATTGTTTCGCGGTTAGTAGTTGTGCGCTGGTCATCTAACATATATATATATATATATATATATATATATACA